TGTTTCCAAAGCTTGTCCATCACCCCAAGCAACAGCTCAGTGCCTACAAGCAATGACTCCACTCGCCTTCCCCTCAACCCTTGGTAACGACTGATCTGCTTTCTGTCTCTAGGCATTTGTCCTCGATATTTCACATCAGTGGGACCAGATGAGGTATGGTCTTTTGTGACTGGCTTCTCTCACTGAGCATGTTTTTTTGTGATTATCCGTGTTGTAGCCCGTATGAGAGCTTCATTCCTTTTTATGGCTGTATAGTACTCCATTGCATGGATAGACCACATTTTGTTTATCCTTTCATCTGCTGATGGACACTTGGGTTGTTTCCACCTTTTGACTATTGTGAATATTGCTATGAACACTGTCTTACAGGTATCTTTTTCAGTATCTGCTTTCAAGTCTTTGGGGTATACACACCCAGGAATGGAATTGCTGGGCCATATGGTAATTCTGGGAAGCTCTGGTGGCATAGTGCCTAAGGCATTTGACTGATAACCAGAGGCTGGCAGTTCAAACCCACCAGCCACTCCTCGGAAGGAAGGTTGGGCAATCTATTTCCGTAGTGGTACTGCCTCGGAAACCCAAGGAGGGGTCGCTATGAGTCGGATCCAACTCAACAGCAGTGAGGTTTTTTTTTTTTTTTTTTTTTTTTAATACTCTGTGCAAGGATGTTCTTGGTGAACATACCCATTCTGAACCAGAGAAAGGCGTTGTGGGTCCTGTGCGGGTGTGCCCCACAGGTAGATAAATCAAATCACACGTTCACTGAGTAGGGCCACTTTCTCGTGGGTCTTTCTGTTAAGGGCAGAATTCCATAATGTGATTGTTGTGGCTGTTCGGTGCTGCCGAGTTCATTCTGATTGATAATGACCCCTTCTGACAGAGTAGAACTTCCCATAGAGTTTTCTAGGCTGTGATATTTACTGAAGCAGATCACCAGTCTTTCTCCCATGGAGCCGCTGCGTGGGTTCCAACTGCTGGTAACACAACCAAGTGCTTAATCGTTATGCCACCAGACCTCCTTGTAATGTGAGTGATAATCATTAATTTCCTGTTTTCTCATATACTTGATATACTCTGCATATACGTCCATACCCTTATATGCTGATCTTTTTGGTTCGGGTATTGGAAAATAGAGGAGCTCTGTTGGCCTTGTGCATAAGGCATTTGACTGCTAATCAGAAGGCTGTTGGTTCAAACACCCCAGCCACTCCTCAGAAGGAAGACTGGGCAATCTACTCTGTAGAGATACAACCTTGGAAACCCAAGGAGGGGTTGCTATGAGTCGGTAGTGACTCGATGGCAGTGAGTTTTTTTTTTTTTTTTTTTTTTAACTGGAAAATTGCTTGTCTAGTTAGCCGTTAGATCTTGACATTTTATTTTTGGCCAAAGATCTTTTCTGGTGCTCGTTCCAGACAAGAAATGCTCTAACACTTTGTTCTAAAAGAATACTAATGTCGTCACCACTTCTGTTCTTCAGAAAGCTCTGCTCTCTGCAGGAGTGGATGTTCTTAGGCTTAGCTCAGTGACTCCAAAGACATTGCTAATGTCGGAGTGGTGCATTGCCCACATGCTTCAGCTGACCGCTGGGAGCGTGGCTGGGAGGCCGTCAGGGGATACTGATCCCGTCCTCTCTTCCTGCTCATGGCCATGAGCCTATTCAGCAGAGCAGCAGGGAATGATCAAAAAGTTACCTAAACTAGGAGCTGGTTTCAGGGCCCTGGATGAAACGCCACTGAACTGGAGGAGGCAAAAAGCCTTTTTGTATCTTGATCTCAGCTAGCATTTGACTCAAGGTTCTGTAACTGAAATGCCTAAAAGAGCAAGGCAGGTAACAGAAATGACTGATGTAAGGTATAAAGCCAGGTATAAGGCAATAAGGGGTGGTGAGGACAGTGGCCAACCAGAGGACACACGTCCTTTCTAAAGGAGCCACTGATTATCAGCTCCAGCCAATTGCTGCCAGGTGGGGTGGGGGCCCAGAGTTGTCAAGTAGCTCAATTTTCCAAGCCAAGCAGGAAGTCAGTTTTTTATGTACTGTGTCTTAACTTTTAAAACACTGTGCAGGCTTGAAACAAAAATAAACACACATTCACAAATATTATATGATCCCTCTTTTCTAAGAAGACAAGAACAGATAAATAAGAGACCAGTGTTCACTGACAGTTACCAGGAAGGGGGTGGGCTGGGAAAGTTGACTTTATTCAGTAGAGACTAGTTACATTTAGTGGTGGGAAAGCGACACTGATGGTGGATATAGTGAGCACAGCACAACCAAAGTAATAACAAACGTTTGAGTACATGTGGGTGGGTGGAGGCTGATTGTATTACAAGTAGTACAGATATGTACATAGGTGAGAACAGATAGAAGTATCTATAGAAACAAATAAGTGGATATAGGCACATATATTTACTAAAGACACAAATACGGATACTCTTCAGACATAACCAAATGCCTTCCAGCACTGGCTTTCTGAGTTTGAAGGCTTAGGACGATAGATTCATGGGCCAACTCAGCCAGTTGGCATAATAATAGTTCACAAAAATCATTATCTGCATCCTAGTGACATGAGTAGGAGCTCTGGTAGCATAGTGCCTAAGGCACTTGACTGCTAACCAGAAGACTAGCGGTTCAAACCCACCAGCCACTCCTCAGAAGGAAGGTTGGGCAATCTACTTCCATAGTGATACCGCCTCAGAAACCCAAGGAGGGGTCGGGTTGACAGCACATAACAACAGCAACAACAACAACAACAGTGACATGAGTAGCATCTGAGGTCTTGAAAGCTCGCATGCAGCCATCTAAGCCACAACTACGGGACTCACCAGGATCAAAACAGTAAGAAGGTAACCAAAAGTACAGAGAAGAAAAAACTCTGTAAGAGTCACAACCTCATCCACCCAGACCAGAAGAATTAGATGGTGCCTGGCTACCACCACGGACCATTCTGACCAGGCTCATAATGGTTGGTCCTGGATAGAGTGGGAGAAAAATATGAAGCAGAGCTCAAATTCTTATTAGGAAAGAAAGAAAAAGAACAGACAAACTGGAACAGTCGAGAACAGAGAAGCCCCTGAGGTGATCACCCTGAGACAGAGGTAACCTAGAACCGAGGCTGTCCCCCGGGATCACCTTTTAGTGATAGCACAGTGACACACAGAGTAAAGGAATTACCCGTAAGGTCTGTGCCTTCTTACAACCAGCCATTAGTATGAGACAAAAAGAGCAACAATTCCTTAAATGCAAAGATGAGAAGGAAAAGGAGCAGGGAAACTAGAGCCCTAGAAAGGGAAGAAACAGAGCACAATTAAAGAGAATGTTGACATAGGAAAAATGTAACCAATGTCACCAAACAGTTCATATAGAAATTGTCAAATGGGAACCTAGCTTGCTGTGTAGACTTTCACCAAAAACTCCATAAAATAGTATTTAAAAAAAGAGAAAGAGACATTGTATGTAAGTATGTTTCACAGTTCTGTGCAAATGAAAATGTTCAGTAAATGTTGATTATCTTAATTAAAAAAAATTTTTACAAAATAGAAGCATTTTTGTGGGCTTATGATGCTGCTTTAAGTCAAACATAAATAGACTCATTTTGCTTGAGCAGAGCTCTCCAGGAGTCAGTAAGCATGCTAGTGGAGGGTATGCGTGTATGCACGCACAGTGCACACACACACAGGTTATAGAAGACTTACTTTATTAATTCCTCCAGAAAGCTAAGAATGGAAATGACTCTGAATCCTAGGGGAGTCATGGAGTTTTGAGGTCCAGCAAGCACACAATGCACTACCAGGACACAATAACAGTATGAAAACACTGCAAGTGAGAAGGAAGTGTGACACAGTTTTTCAGAAGTCTTTAAGATTTTCTTACCAAAAGACTTCCAGTCAAGATGGCAGCATGAACTAGTAGGGCAAGCTCCATACCTCCAGCACCACATCCCACTCCATATACAGAGAAGTGCAGGGTGAAACATTTTTTAAAAATCACATGAATACAATGTAGTATTAGCTGCTGTCCAGGTGGCACTCCAGTAATGGCAACCCCAATGACAACGGAACTAAATGCTGCCTGAGCCTCACACATTGAAGGTGAGAGTTGTACCAGTGGGACCTCAATGGGTTACTGAGCTCAAAACAAGAATGGGTGTTTTCTAGGTGCTGGAGTGTTGTGAGTGTAGACTGAAGCCATGGGATCACTAGGGGTACCCGAACCAGATTCATCTAACTGAGGAGCTAGTGTTTTAATACACTTGCAGGGAAGGGAAAGGAGTTTTGGTGGCATAGCAGCTAAAGCATTCGGCTGCTGACTAAGAAGTCAGCAGTTTGAATCTACCAGCAGCTCCATGAGAGAAAGATGAGGCAGTCTACTTCCGTAAAGATTTATAGCCTTGGAAACCCTATGGGACAGGTCTACTCTGTCCTATAGAGTTACTATGAGTTGGAATTGACTCAGTGGCACTTAATGTGATAGTCACAAAGGTTATCACATTATTGTGATATTTATGTGATTATTATTGTGAGTGACCTGGGGTTTGGGGGTGTGTGTGCCAAATTGTACGTGTGATATGATCTCTTCCAAGCCTCATGAAAGAATTGGAATAGAGGAAGGGGAACTCATCAGAGGTTTAGCATGGATTATCTCCAGTGAAGCAATTATGGGTAGTTTTTTCTTTGTGCTTTTCGTTTCCCAGTGATTTTTTTTTTTTTTTTATTAGAGAGTATGTTTCTCTTTAATAATTAAAAAGAAAAAAGTTTGTACAAAAATTCAGTCTCTGCCTAGCTCTTAGAGGAAGTCTTTTGTATTCATCTTGTTGCCTTGGAAACCAGTGACTAGTCCTACTGACTGCTGTAGTTCAGCTCCACAGGAAGGCCTCTGCAGGCCATCCCCAGCCAGCGACAGTGTAGACCCTAAGCGGAAGTGCTGAGTTACCTGAAGTTGTAGCCAGGGTACAAGGACTCATTGGTGATTTTGTCATCAAGGCGACGGAAACTATACTTCGGTCTGCAGTGATGGAACCACCTGTCCAGATTGCAGTCCCAGTAGATCTCAATGCCCATAATTCCACCCTGGAGATGAGATGTCAAATAAGAAACAAGTCTCTAAGTCCTCTGAGATGTGGGGTCACACAGCCACCATCCGGCTCTCTGTGTTGGGCTTTCCGCCTGCTAGGGATGATCGCGGAAGGAAAGCTTTTCTTTTTAGACGAAAAATGCTTATTAAGTGTTCAAGAGCCCTATGTGCAGCTTCCTCTAACTCACACAAATACTACTGTGGCAATCACACACATCTCTCTCTTCTCCTGCCATCATATGGGATATACTGTCATTAGAATTATTTTTCTAAAATACACTTCTCACATTGACCCATGTCACTTTAGTTTTGTGTATTTTACTGTACATAAAATGTATTTAAAAAAAAGAAAAAATATATATGTATACTTAACAAACCACTCCCTTCATCAAGTACCCTCAACAACTCCACACAAAGACTGAGTCTCAATTTATTAGACTGGAATTCAGGGCACTCCATTAAATATCTTCAGATACAGCTGCAAGCCACAGAATGCCAAGAGTTGCAAGACCCACCAGAACTAGGAGAGAGGCTGGAACAGAGTCTCTCTCGGAGTCTCAGGAGGAATCAACATGGTTGACCCCCTGATTTGAACTCCCAGCCTCCAGGATTGTGACACAATGTATTTCTGTTTTTAGAAGTCATTCAACTTATGGCATTTTGTTATAGAAGCTCCAGAAAACTGATACACCAAGGATCTCCCTCATAGGGCTGTTGTGGGGTTAGCTGAGGTAATGCAAGTAATGTCCTTTACTAGACAATCAATGTGAGACCCAGTGACCTGGTCTCTTGGCCTTTGACATCCTCCATCTCTGTGGTGCAGTGAATTACTTAATATGGCCCTTCTAGCTAAGGTCTTCATAACTCCCACCAAATGACTGAGTGAGGCTATACAAATGAGGTGCTTGTGGCCCACCAGGGAGATTGGATAGCTTGCTAATAATGTAAATAAGGTGCATGGCACCCTTGTGGGGTCAGACCATGCGAATAAAGTGTATGGAACCCTAACAAAGGGATTGGTTGGTTTTACCACCCCACTAGGTTTAAAATGACCATTCCAGAGGTGGAAAGGGGGAGTTCATGACCATCAAGAGTGAATCGTGTCCTTTAGACCCAGGATTCCTGCACTGAGGACGTCCTTGCCCCGGAGACAGAGGGAGAGATCTGTAACATCAGAGATGGCAGAGGACAGCAAGGGATGGCAAGAGAAGCAGCGGCAGGGAGATGTCAGCAGCAGAACCAGGAAACCAGCAGGAGACAGCGGGGTGGGCTTCTCAGCCCACGGAGCAAGTGAGCCGAGCACCTTTGGGTAGGAGGCTTGCTGGCAGATTGGCTGTCCCTGGGCACTTGTTGGTGGCCAAGGCTTGCAGACTCACAGAGCTGGAACTGAGTGCCTTTGGGCTTATTGGTGGAGTAGGCTGCTTTGTAATACTTGCTGGAGCAGGTCAGGCTGAGGGACCGAGGGTCAGAGAGAGATCTGCCTGCAGGCACGGCTTAGAAGAGGCTGTCTTGATCAAAAAACCTATCCTTACTGCTTTTAAACCTATGTTGTAACCTGTTACTTCCCTAATAAACCCTCATAACCATGAGTATGTCTTTGAATTCTGTGTGGCCATTGCAACAAATTATAAAAGCCAGCAGAGAAGTAGAGAGAGCCGTGGGAGGGACAGTTGGTGTCAGAATTGATAAGAAGGTTGGAGAGTGGAGGCAGGTCTGACTTCTGCCTCATAGGAATCAGCCTTGGACTGTTGATGAGATAGTGATTCTTCCTCCCCCTCATGAAGTTAGAGGAAGTCAGGTGTCAACACTACAACATTTTTACAGTCCCCCACCCCAACACCCCACTGTTCAAAGGCACCACCAACCTTAATTGCCACATCTGAAAACTTTTGTCCTTTTTCTCGGAAGATATCTCCTAGTCGGAAAATGGGACACTGTGGATTCCGAGTCTTGTGAAAGGTACAAGTGATGTTTATATCTGGCAAGATGTTTCTCCTGGGCATAAATAAAAGCAAACAAACATCTCTGTTGGAAAGTGGTAGCCATCATAGCAGAGAGCCAGTGTGGGCGCTGGGCTCCAGGAAGGCCCCGGTGAGCTCCTGGGATTCACACCCCCATACAGCCCCTCCCATACTATTCAAGGTTGGTGTGTGAGACCAGCAGCATATGGCAGAAATGATGATGTGCCACTTCTGAGATTAGGTTATAGGAGACTATGGCTCCTCTCTGTGAAAAGGCTACACTTACTGGACCAGTGGAAACTAGAGAAACCCCAAGAGATTTCCATGAGGTTCCTTTTAAACTTTGAACTGAAACCACTCCTGGAAGTCACCTTTCAGCTAAGTGACAGATTGGCTCATAATAAACAATATCACCCATGTGTATTGTGCTCCTTTTTTAAAAAAATAATTTATGCAAGACCATTACAGCTTACGGCCAACAGTTACCCTAAAGCAAAAAATGTAAAGGTCAGAGGAAAGCAAGGAAACTAGACTAATGGAAATGGAACAACCAGAAGGGAAATAATAAGAATGTTGACACGTTGTGAAAAATGTAACCCAAGTCACTGAACAATATTTACAGAAATTTTTAAAAGGGAACCTACTTGTCCATTAACCTTTCACTCAAAACACAAATATTTTTTTCTTCGAAAGAAGGACTGTGGCTTGGGTAATCTTGGGTGCTGTCCTGCTTGCTTGTGCTCTTTCTCGACTGGATTGCTTGCTCTAGGGGAAGCCAACCACCACGTTGTGAGGATGCTCAGGCGGCCCTAGGGAGAGGTCCACATGGTGAAGAACCAAGCCTCCTGTCAACAGCTACATGGATGAGCTTGGAAGAAGATTCTCCAGCCCCAGTCCAATCTGGGGGTGATGGCAGCCCTGGCTGACAGCCTGACTGCAACCTGAGAAGCCCTGAGCCAGAGTCACCTAGCAAAGGCCTTTGCAGATTCCTGACCCACAAACACTGTGAGGTGATGATGTTGTTTCAAGCTACTAAGTTTTGGGTGGTGGTCTATAACAGTATATGACTAATGCAGCCGGCTGTTCTGGGCACTTACGTGGTGTAATTGTGGCCAGGGAAGTGGATATTGTTCTTGATAAGCACAGTGAAGTTCTCTGCACTCTTCAAGAGGGCAGGCCTGAGAGAGAGGAATGGAAAAGGGGAAATAGTGACTACAGCGGTGACCGAGAGAGTCAGTGAGTCAATGAGATCAGAGGCTTCTGGTTTGTCACTTTGGTCACTGGGATAAAACCAAACCCAAACCCATTGTCACTGAGTCAATTTTGACTCATAACTACCCTATAGAACAGAGTAGAACCGCCCCATTGGGTTTCCAAGGCTGTAAATCTTTATGGAAGCCGACTGCCACATTTTTCTTCTGCAGAGCAGCTGGTTAGCAGCTGACCTTTGGTTAGCAGCCAATGCTTTAACCATGGTGCCACCATGGCCCTTGGGTTAAGGGAATAGAAATAGGTGCATCAGCCTAGTGAACAAAACCCTACCAGTTCTCCATAAACTTCTCCAGCTTCCCCAGAAAGACACTCTTCCTCCTCGGGACCCTCCGCATTGACTGTGACTCCTCCCCTACTCTGACATAGTGGTGTGCTTGCATGTATCCAGTGGTGTGTTGATAAATGTTCAACAAATGGCTTTCCAGGAGAAAAAACAAAGCCCTGATTTATAGCATTTGGTAATTATTGTGATGCAGATATTCCCACTGTGACTGATTGCAAGCTACCAAATGGATATCACTGAACTCAGAGTTGGGACAGGATGATCGTAATCGGCTCAGAACTGATACAGGCCAGCTCCAGTACATACTGTTTGTGTCTTTCCCAAAAGGCTTAACGCTCCTGCAGGGCTAGAGCAATAGTTTCTTATCTTGTTATCCCCGGATGTACGCATAGGGCCACACAACACAGAGATTGACAAAAGCACTATGTTGTTGTTGTGTGGTAGGACTCGATTCCGACCCACAGAGACCTAGGACAGGCTAGAACTGCCTCATGGAGTTTCCTGGGCTATGATCTTTATCAGAACAGATCGCCAGGTCTTTTCTTGCACAGAATGGCTGGCGGGTTCAAATTGCTGACCTTTTGGTTAGTAGCTGAGTGCTTAACTGTTGGGCCACCAGGGCTCCTTATATAGTTGACTAAATCAGTCCTGTGGAGATTCTAGGAACCCTGGTGGCATAGGGCCTAAGGCGCTTGACTGCTAACCAGAAGGCTGGAGGTTCAAACCCACCAGCCACTCCTCGGAAGGAAGGTTGGGCAATCTACTTCCGTAGTGATACCACCTGAGAAACCCAAAGAGGGGTCGCTATGAGTCGGATCCGACTCGACGGCACATAACAACAACAACAGTGGAGATTCTGAGTAGGGTAAATTGGCACTATGCCACCAGAGCTCCCCCTTGTGAGTTACAGGAGTGCAAATTCTGGATTACAAAGGTCCAGCCAACCATCCATCCATGCATTCATCACATACTGGGCACAGTATATGGATGGGCATAGTGATGAACAGTATAGTCAAAGCTTTTGTCTTTATGAGTCTATGGGTGAAGAGAACCACCTGTGGATAAAGTGAGACAGCTGGCACCCTGTTGCCTGGCATGGCTGAGTAGGTGGCAGATACATATTGGGAGTAGCACCAGGAAAGGGTGGGAGGGTATTTGGAAGAGGAAACCAAGAAGGATCTCCTTTTATTCCACAACTTCCAGAACCTCGCTCGAACTCTATTTAGGATACAGCTGTGGGGAACAGTGTAATTTATGCCTATCCAGCATCCATGCCCCCTTCTGGGAGTAGTGCCTCAGTTTTCCCCTCCTGGTGATACAGCCTCAATTTTCTGCCTTTTGGGCGGGGGCATCTCTTTTCCTCTCTCAGGCCAGAGAGTTAAGTGGGACTGACTCCATCTCCTATCCACCCTACAGCTCCTGGGTGGGCAAGTGACCCAAGCCCTGGCCACAGTGATTGAGCTATAGATGGTGATGTGACTCAGGCCAAGGAGACCATTCTAGGGCTTTTGGAGGAACTCCTGGGAAAGAGACACTCTCATTTCCAGCTGGGATCACTAGTAGTTAAGACCATGTAAACCTGGAGTTCCCCAGACCTGTGATGTGAAGAGAACCAAACAGGAGAAAGAGTGGTTGAGTTAGAGAGAATACAGAATAAATCTTGAAACCACTTGAAGCCTAGATCAAACCTTGCTTGAAGCCCTTACCTCTGGACTCCTCATTTACAGGAGTCAAAAATAATACCTTATTTTTTTTCTGAGGCAAGTTTCAGTCTCTTATATTGGAAAAAATAAAAAGGTTATTTGTGACAAACATCTGCTGTGTACCAGACCCTGTGCCCTTCATGCATCCTAGACCCCGCGCTTCCTGGACACTCAAAGAATCCTGAGCCTTTAAGGATCACAGCCCTTTGTTCCTCTCTCTCAATACTTAGAACTGTCTGTCTTGAATTGCAGCTCTCTGTGTACATATGGTATCTCTTCTATTAGACTGCACGAGCCTTGGGGTCTGCTCCATACCTGGGTTTTCTTGTTTTTTACAGAAGACTTAGTGTAGTCTCTTGCATATAGTTACATGTGAAAGGCATATTAGATACACCTAAAAAAAATTCACTGCCATCGAGTCATTTCTGACTCATAGTGACCCCTCCTTGGGTTTCCAAGGCAGTATCTCTATGGAAGTAGATTGCCCAGTCTTCCTTCCAAGGAGTGGCTGGTAATCTAATACCTCGTAGGTGGTAATGGATGTATTGAATAAATATGAAATGCATCGTATTATTGAGTCTCCTTGTATGACATGAGGAAACTGAAGTTCAGGAACTTGCTTGCCCAAGATCATGTGAAAAACATAGCCCAGGGGCGAGCATGTTGGAGGTATAGGTGGTGGCAGAGCCAGAACTAGAAGCCACAGCCAATTAACAGGATTGCATTGAACCAGGGACTGCTGGCGCATAGGCGGATATCTTGCCCAGCGCTGGGCTTCCCAGGCCCTGGACATCCTTTCAGTGACAGTTCCTGCTCTGATCTAGAAATAGACCTGGGTAATGGCTTCGATGCTTGAAGGCCAGTGATGCTGCCTCCTGCACCCTCCCTACCATCAGGGATCTTTGCCCAGCCTTCTAGAAAGCCAGTTTGAAGCAGTCTTCTCTTTGCCCACAGATGCTGATGGAGTGGCTCAGAGTCACAGTGGTATGGAACTGTGTTATCCTTATGGTAGCCATTAGGCATGCATGGCTATTTAAGTTAAATTAAAAATTGTTTCTCAGTTGCAATCACCACCTCAGTTGCAGTAACCACACGTAGCTGGAGGCTACCATATTGGACAGAGCAGATACAGAACATTCCCATCATTGCAGAAAGTTCTGTTGAACATGCTGGCCTGGAACCACCAGCACTGTTTAGTGGGTCTGTGTGTCTCTGAAAGTGTGTGTATGGGGTGTCTGTCTACGTGTCTGCACGTGTCTGTGTGCATGTGTGTGTCTGTTGTCGAGCACTGAGCCGACTTGCAAGCACTGTACAAGTGTCGTCTCATTTAATCCTAATAGCCTAACAAAAAACTCACTGCCATCAAGTCAATTGTGACTCGGAGCGACCCCCACTGGTTTTCGGAGGTAAGGAAGTGGGTTGCCCTATCTTCCTTCCACAGAGTGGCTGGTGGATTTGAACCACTGACCTGGTTAGCAGCCACTACACCACCAGGTAGGTGTAATTTTTATCATCATTTTACCGATGAGGAAACTGAAGCTCAGAGAGGTTAAGTCACTTGCCCAAAATCACACAGAAAGAACATACCATAGCTAGGATTTGAGTCCGACTCCCTCTAACAACTTTGTGCTGAAATATAGAAAAATCATGCCCTTGTGGTTTCTGAGGCAGTTCCTGCCTATGTGTGCTTGGGGTAGTAGCTTTTTGCCAGCTGGGTACAGAATGATTTCAGTATTTTAAAACCATCATGGCCTTACCACAAATCACTGGCATTGTGCCAAATAGTGTGCCTGGCACGGGGGTCACCAAGCCACGAAAACCTAGGACTTTGCAGGATTGGATCGAGAAGGGAGAGCCCTGAGTAGCCCCTGGCAAGAACTTCTGCTGAGGGCTGCTGTGTCTGTCCCCACCAAGCCACTCACCGAGGGGCTTCTTCCACTGCCTCGATAGGGCACCAGGCAAAGACTTCACAGGTCTTCTGCTTCCCTTTATACTGTATACACCTTCCAGTCTGGACTCCTGTGGGGATCAAGGGGTGTTTGAACCACTGGTGTGAAAGAACTGAGGAGAAAACGTTCCCCCAGAAGGCAAATCATTAAGTCAACCTACACAAGACTGTTTAGGCTTTGCAAGGCAGGCAGTTTCAGTCCCCATCCTAACCACAGCTGTGCATGAGGCAAAGCAAGCAGGCAAAAAACAATAGCAAGAGTTTCGATAAAGGAGCTAAGAGACGCAAAAGAATTGAAGCAGGCACTCAGACAGGTTCTTATGCACCAGGGTGCGCTGCAGTAGTGTTCACAGCAGCCCGCAGGTGAAACAACCCAAACGGCCATCAGTAAATGAACGGATAAACACAGTGTAGTCTGTCCATACCATGGAATATTATTCAGCCATGAAAATCAATGAAGCCCTGATACATGCTATGACTGGATGAACCTGGCAAACATGCTGGTGAAATGAGCCACATATGAAAGGTCATATAGTGTATGATTCCACTTGTATGGCCCATCTAGAATAAACAAAGTTGTAGTGACAGACAGTAGTGATGGGGGGTAGAGGGGAAAATGGGGACTTACTGCGTAAGGGGTACAGAGTTCTGTTTTTGGGGAAGAAAAAGTTCTGGAAATAAGTAGTGGAGATGGTTGCACAACATGTGAATGTCTATGATGCTGCTTCACTGTACCCTGAAGACGGCTGAAATGGTGACTTCTGTGTTATGTGTATTTTGCTACAAGAATTTTTTTTTTTTTTTTTTTAAATTAGAGCACAGCAAGCCATGGATTCTGTTTCTTCTTCTTTAAGTAAGAACAAGTGCCTGAGAGGGGAGCTGAATAGGTGTAGCACCTAGTTTGGTATGGATAGATTGGAACTTGGCTTCTCGGACAGGCATCTGAGTACCCCTAGGGTCCTCGGCACGTTCAGGGCTGTGTAGTCACAGAATAAGCATGTGGGTCTTCCTGGAGCCGCAGTAGTACTAACAGATTCCAGGAGACAAAGTTCATTAGATAGTAAATAATGTTGAAATGATTTCCGCATCAACTCAAGCACACATGTGATCGAGTAGAAGGCAAACTTCACATGCCTTTGTAAGTTAAAACAAGAGAGGATACGGAAAATATGCAGGCTGCTGTAGAAGCTGCCCCCGGGGTCCTGGGAGGAGTACTAGTTCATGCTCCTCAACCTCTGGGGGTAACTTGGATGGTTTCTGCCACTTAGAATCCTGAGCCTGCTCATTCTGCTAGCCTTGCAGGAGCTTCCCTCACTGGGGATTTGGAGTCAGGTTCATGGTCAGCAGGTGGTCCCCTGGGGCAGAGCCAAGGCACAATCAGACTCCAACTTGCCTGTGGCTTGGTGGTGGTGGGAAAGATGCTGGGAGCCAGAGGTCTACAGAGCTGAAGTGGGCATCGCGAATGTCACTACCCCAGGAATGTCACTACTGCTCAGGAGTGGAGACAGAAAGTACCTTTGCTATGTGGGCCCATCCGTCCTTTTTTACAGTCCCGATCAGTGTGGCAGAGCGTCCTGGGGGTGGGGTACTGCGGGAAAGATGGAGTGGGTGTAAGCAAAGACAACATGGCTGTGTCCACACAGGAACCTGAACACGGTGTCCACAGTGGCCAACAAGTGGAAACAACCCAATTCCATCAACAGAGGAATGAATAAAAATGTGGTGCATTCAGTATGACTGACCATTATTCAGTCATAAAGAGAAGTGAAGTCCTGATACATGCTACAACATGGACAAACCTTGAAAACATGCTACATGAAAGCTGCCAGTCACAAAAGGCCACATATTGTGTGATTCCGTGTATATGAGGCAAATCCATAGAGATAGAAAGTAGATTAGTCTTTGCCTGGGGCTGGGAGCAAAGGAAATGGGGAGAGACTGCTGATGAGTGCTGGGTGTCTTCTTGGGGTGACAGACACGTTCTGGAATTAGTAATGATGGTCGCACAACTGCGTGCAGTGAGTTTTATGGCATGTGAGTTACATCTCAATAAAAAATATAAACAAACATTGAAAAAGTGCTGTCAGGGCAGCCAGGGACCATTTTGGGGATGGCCCTGGGGGCAGTGAGCAGGTGGCCTGGCCTGAGCAGCTCTGTGGCTGCGGAGCTGAGTAATGCAGACAGGCGCCACGGCTCAACAGGAAGCTGGAAACGAGGGACACCAGCCAGCACTCTCTCCCGAGTCTGAGAAAATGAGGGCAGCCCGGTCTCAAGTGGAAGGGCAGAGTAAGGGAGAGAGAAGCGAGAGGACTTGCTGTTTTCTAGGGAGCAGGCTTAACAGCCAGTCTTGGGGTAGCCAGGAGAAGGCCTAGGCATCCAAGTAGCCCCAGCCCACTGTCCTCCGTGCAGTGTGTGGCTTTCACAGAGATGTGGGGGCACGACCCAGGTCTTGGACACACTTAGGTTTGGGGATAGCTGCGCTAGTCTCTAGCTCTGACCTTGGCCAGTCACTTCTCATCTCTGAGCTTCAGCTTCCTCATCTGTAAGAGGGTGGACAGATTTGTCGTACCTGGCAGTGTGAGGATTAAGTGGGTTATGAAAAGAAAGGGATTGGCACATAGTGTTTGCTCAGTGAGGGGGCAGTGGTGGTTCAGTGGTAGAATTCTCGCCTTCCGTGCAGGAGACCTGGGTTCGATCCCCCGCCAGTGCACCTCATGAGAGCCGCCGCCTGTCTGTCAGTGGAGGCCTGTGTGTTGCTGTGATGGTCAACAGGCTTCACCAGACAGACCTTCCAGACTAAGCTTCCTGCCTGGGGGGGAAGGCCTGACGATTTACCCACAGATCAGCCAGTGAGGACCCTGTGGATGCGTGCTGGAGGGTGAGCCTCTCGGGGTAGAAGGCACCACACAGAAGTCACAACCACGGACTCAGACATACCACCAGCGACCGAGAAGGTGGCACAGACTGGGCACCGTTTCGGTCTGCTATAAAGAAGAAATAAATGGCAACTAGTAACAACCACTCCAGGGTGACCTCGAGTTAACTGATTACATCTGCAAAGATAACATTTGCGGATAAGGTCACATTCATAGGTGGGGGGGCGGTGGCAGTTAGGATGCGACCCTATATTTTTGAGGGACACAAAATCAATTCGTAACACTACTCACAGTAGGTAGCTCTCATCTTAAAAAGCAGAGAGCAGGACTGTGAACAGACAGACTGTCAAACACATTTTGATGGAGAAGAATGTTCCAGAAAGAGGTAGAAACAGGCCAAGATTACAGAGAGGGCAAAGCCATCACGTGGGAAACTGTGTGGGGATGGGTGAGAAGAGAGGACACAGGGCATTTGCATTTGCTCTGGAGGCCAGAATTTTTAAGAGATGAAAGGCAAACCTGAGCTGCTTTGCAGTGCTTCTCAGAACTGGCACCGCAGACCAGTCACAGTGGTTTGTTGCAGGAAACACAGAATGAGGGCACCAGACTTCTAACCCTGGCTCTGCCCCCAGCAAGCCATGTGCCCTTGGGGACATCATTTAACCTCTCTGAGCCTGTGAAACAAGGCTGGAAATACTGTGAGGCTGGAAATGCTGTTAGGGATCACTGCCGTTGGGAGCTACACCTGAGAGATGAAAGGGGCAGGACTCCAGCTGGAGACCAACGGGGCAGCGGGAGCCTGGTGGCTGCAGAGCACACTATTGAGTCCTCTCCTTGCTCCACCCACCCCGGCACCAGCCCCACAAAAGGGGCTTAGTTAATATTTGTGGCCTTCAATACACCTTGGGCCCTAATTTCCATGCACTGCTCCTTGCTACCTTCAGGGACTCTCATCACCCATCCAGCCACTCCTGGTCCCCTCCTTACCTCAGGACAAAACTCCTGAACTTGGCCTTCTGTCTTGAGAAAGTTTGTCATCACAAAGAAGGAGTTTCCCTGCAGAGAGAAGGGAGCAAGGAGGGCAATGCGATGCCTTGGGAACAGCACCACGTAATCCGAAGAGCCCTGCTTGCTGGGCGCCGGGGTCGGGGTGTGTGGGGGGACACCTTCCCACTCTTCTAAGCTTCAATTTAGAAAGCAGGGTCTCTGAACAGCTCGGAATGTGCCCAGGGCTTAATATCTGAGCAGGGTGAGCTCCCGCTGAGCCAGGGGAGGGCAGGGGAACATTCACACTGATGCAGCATTCATTTTCCATGCCAGCCTCAGAAGCAGCCTTTTCATTTTTGACACAAAATCCCATTAAATTGAAACTCCAGGGACCTGGGGAGGCGGAGGTGGGGGAGCGTGGGCTTCATCTGAGTACTGTTCAGATTATCCACGACTTTAATTGAAGGGCATTAGGGCATCCCACCACCTGGGAAAGGACTGGCGATGTTATGACCTACTGGTAGAAGCAAACACAGCGGCTTGGGGTTTAGGCTTTGCGCCTTCCAGCTCCCGGGCTGCCAATTGCCCTTTGGTCCTCCCTTCCCCTATCTGATCTTTACCATTGTTTACCTTCTTTGAGGTCTCCTGTTTGATAATGCTACTTTCGTTTTCTCTTCTTGTACATTTAGGCTCTCAGCCATCCACCCCATCCCTCTCTTTGTCATCCATGTCCTCTCTTTGTGCAAATAAAACACCTGAGGTTGAATTGGTCTCAAGGAAACATTTTTGTTGATAAAATGCCACATATACAGTACAGAAGGGCTGGTGCTCTCAGGGTAGAAAGCTCTTCGCCCTGCTGAGTCTGGCCAGACCTTGGTCACTTGATGGCCCTGCTCCTAAAAAGCCAGGTATAAACAGAGTGTGAAGGAATTAAATTGTGTCTGAAACGCGCCAGGCCATGCTGCTATTTTGAGAAACCCTGGAGGATTCACTAAATCAGCGAATCATCCCCTCTTCCAACTGCTGGATCTGACCCAGTTTTGCAATTTTAGGTTTTCTCATTTGGGATTTTCATGGGGCTGTTTAAGTAGGGCCAACCACAACTCCTGTCTGGAGGGAGGCTCCAGGCCGTAGGGTGGGTGGGTGAGGCCCAGCCACCGTGACCAGAACGTGGCCCAGTGCTCACTCACCTGCAAAGGGAAGGTGTAATCCGCAGTGTCAAAGATGCTGGGCACCACCTTCTTGACTCCATCCTCCACAGTTTCCTCTTCCACCTCCGCGATCCCCTTCACCTTGGTGTGCACAGAGCTGATCACCGGCTCCTTCTGTTGGTACAGCTTGTCACTCAGCAGAGCAAAGCTGGAACAGCACACACAGAAGTACTGAGGGTTCTGGTGAGGGGGGCAAGGGCCAGTGGGTCGGGATGCAGATTTCAGAGGCTGCCTCCTTTCATGTCTCAGCTCTGCTGGGTGACTCAGGGCAAGTGACTTCACTTCTCTGACTCACTCTCCCCAGCTGTAAAGTGGGAATAATAGTCACACTCACTTCATGGGTTGCTGTGAAGATTAAGTGAGACATGCAAACTCCTTAGCCCAGTATCTGGCTCCCAGTAGGTGCTCAACACATGGAAACAATTGTCCCCATGCCAACCTCTAACGTTGCCCCATAGGAATGCTAACTCACTGGATAGCTCCTCCATACCAACGTCCAGCCCCAGGTTGGTCCTCCAGCTTTGTCCTGGGGCTCAGTAACACATCAGCGTTTTCCTGTCTAAGGGTACAGCTAGAGGGCCAGCCACCTGCTTTCCAGGAACATCCACCTGGTTTATAAATAATTCCGATCATAGCAGCTACTGTTCATGGAGCACTTACTTAACTTTGTTGGTTGGGTAAGCACTTGACTACTAGCCAAAAGGTTGGTGGTTCAAACTCACCTGGAGACACTTTGGAAAATCGACCTGGGGATCTGCTCCTGAAAGGTCACGGCCTTGAAGGCCCTGTAAGAGCGGCTCTGCTCTGCACACAGGGGTCTCAGGGAGTCAGAACCAACTCCACTGCAACTAACAAGTTCAATGCTGCGGCAAGGACTTGATGTGGATCATTTCCTCTAATGCTCACCCTTCAGTAGGTGAAGGGATGGGCCCAGCAAGGTGACGGAGCTTTGCTGAGGTCTCACAGATGGACAGAACTGAGGTCCACACTCAGAGACAGGCCTCTTAACCACCGTCCTTTTCCTCATGTATGCCATGGCTCTGCCTCTGGTTTCCTGTCTTTCAGTCAGTTCATTAGCTTTTAATACCTTCTCCATAGCAGGAATCCAAATGATCATGATGGGGGAGGGAAATGAAGGGAGCAAGTTAAAAAAAAAATTAAAGTTAAAAAACGTTGCATTCAGGGAGACAGCTCAGGGGACAGGAGTGCATGAAGGGATGGACACAGGGAAGAGGTAACTATCGGGAGGAAGTGGGAGGGGAGCTGTTGTATTGTGGTAAACTGTAGTCAGTGCCCTGAGACAAGGTATGTGAACTGCTATATGGAAAGTGAATTTGCTTTGTAAATTTTCACCCAAATCACAATTAAAAAAAAAAAAAAAGTAACATTCCCTCCATTTATGTTCTCCTTGTCTCCCATTGCCCTGAATAATTAAAAGTGGGTTAATTTAAAATGCTTTGCTCACTCACTCAGCAGAACTTTATTTAGTCCCTTCTCTCTGCCTCGCTTCTGAGTGATTTAAGAAGTGAAAGCCAATGGCTGCCCTTCTGAGCTGATCTTGGGAAGCCAAAATAGGTGGGCCAGGACATGGCTAAACAGTAGAATCACTCAAGGAGCCTTCAGAATTGCAGTTGTCCTGCACCAGGGTTCTCTGCAATATTCACAACAGCCGAATGGTAGAAACAACCCAAGTGTCCATCAACAGGCAAATGGATGGACAAAATGTGGTCTAAACATACAATGGACCATCGTTCAGCCATAAAGAGGAATGAAGTTCATGCTACAATACGACGTGGATCCACCTTGAAACATTATGCTACATTAAAGAACCTAGACATGAAAGTAAAATCTTTATGATTTTTATTATCATGGTTTTATTATGCCATTTATATGAAATACCCAGAAAGAACAAATTCATAGAGACAGAAAGTAGATTGGTGGTTGCCAGGGGCTGGGAGGAGGGGAGAATGGGAAGGACAGGCTCTGGGATGGGCTTTTGTTTGGTGTGATAGAATGCTCTGGAGCTAGATGGAGGTAGTGGTTGCACAACGTTGTGCGTTAAGTGCCGCTGAAGTGTTTACTCTAAAATGGTTAATTTTATGTTCTGTGAATTTCGTTTTTTAAAAAGGAAAATAATATATATATATTTACAGGTACAAACATGTAGAAATATAAAGCAGATGAAGGTGGTGTTTATAAGTGGAGAAGAAAGGGAATGGGATGGCAAAGGGGTTTGTAGAGAATAAAACTGGATTCATTTTATTTCTGAAGTGGGGCAGTGGAATATCTGTAAAATTCAGTTAAAAAAGAAAGCTCATCAAGGAATGTGTTGAGGCTATGGGTACAGATTTGAGATCCAGCCAGCATGTATGAGACAGAGTTATCAAATATAATTCCACGACACACATGAGAATATTTGTCCAACAGTAAACATCCTCCAAGCCTCGCAACATGTACACGCTGCATACGGTGTTTGCTTCTATGGGGTATTGCAACATTCTCCCAAAATAACACTGGGTCAATGTGACTTACCATTCAGGGAGCTCAATTCTGATCACTCAGATTCATTCCAGAATGTACCACATGGAATCCAACCCTCTCATAACCCAAAAACCTGCCTTTGTATAATAAAGAGCATATAATTTTAAGATTTAAAGTGCTTCACAGCTGTATCAGAGAAAAAGGAGAGAGAAAAGGGGAGTTGGCAGTATCCTTAAGCCCTAGGACCACGCAGCTTCAAGAAGCTATAATTCTCTGCATTCTGAAGAGGGCAAAACCACTGGTCTCTGGAGCTAGCAGGGGCCCGAAGGAGTTGGAAACTTAGCTGAGCTCTTAGGATGGGTGAGATAGAGACAGGAGAATGGAGAGCTGGGCAGGAGCTAATGAGAGAGGAGCCAGGGCCCTTCAAGGAGCACTTCAGGAAGCCTGGCTGAAGAGGAGGACTGTGGAGGGAGCAGAGGAGGAAAGGCTGGAAGGTAAGGGTGAACCTTGTGGACCAGAGGCAGGCACTCTACCCCAGACTCACCAGATGTAGATGAAGGTGCCCACCATGAAGCTGTTCTTCAGGGTCCCAAGCCACAGGCTCTGGATGTGGACGGCTTTCGCAGAGTGATAGTGACATTGAAGATGGCCCCGGGCCCATGCCAGCATGGCCAGAGGGTATGTAAGACTTGGCAGGAAAGAAGTGCCTTTTAGCCAAGCCTGTCTCTCCTCCTTGAACATCCGAGCTTACTGAGCAAAGGTAACGCTGAAGTCAAAGAATGTGACCTGAAAGTGAACTTCCTTTCTCTCTGGCTCCAGATGACTATCTGATCAACACTGCTGGTAGCACGTTTCTTTGAGAAATCTCTGGAGACCTCCCCTGCTTTCCTTCTTCTCCACTTCTTTCATCTTCACTCTCACAACTTTCTGTCCTTCTCTTAACATCCCAGCATTTGCTCACCATCAGTGTGGTAGACAGAATAATGACCTTCCCAAAGATATCTGTGTCCTGATCCTCTAGAGATTGACCACCATCCGTCTGTCAGTTTTTAGTGTCTGTCATACTGTGGTGGCGTGTGCGTTGCTGTAATACTAGAAATTATGCCTTTGGTATTTCAGAAACCAGTAGGGACACCCATGGTGGACAGGTTTCAGCTGAGCTTCTAGACGAAGATAGATAAGGAAGAAAGGCTTGATGATCTAGTTCCAGAATTTAGCCAATGAAAACCTTATGGATCACAATGGAACATTATCCAAGGTGCTTTGGACACATCATCCAGGGGGAGCCCTCTGGAGGAGGCCATCTTATTTGGTGATGTAGAGGGCCAGCGAAGGCAAGGGAGCCCTCACTCAGTGGGATGGATGGTCACGGCCATCACAGCAGTGGGCTAGAACATGCCGGTGATGGTGGGATGACGCAGGACCGGGCAGCCTCTTGCTCTGTTGTGTGTAAGGTCTCCACACATTAGAGTTGACTTGACGGCATCTCTCTGTCTGTATTCTGGCTCCCACAGTGAGATAGGCCTGTTGGTGGCTGTGTAAAAACCCCTGTCTCACTCTAATGTACTTGTGTCTGCTAGCTTGAGTGGGTTTCAGTTTCTTGTGGCCCATTGCATGACTAAGGCATCACTGTGACTTCTGTTCCTTTTGGCTCCATCCATCACCATCTAGCACATCTGGAAAACTCTTCTTTTTATTTCCTCCCAAACTGTCTCTTTCTCTCGTTGTTGTTGTTGTTATGTGCTGTCGAGTCAGCCCTGACTCATAGCGACCCCTCCTTGGGTTTCCGAGGCAGTATCACTACGGAAGTAGGATTGCCCAACCTTCCTTCCGAGGAGTGGCTGGTGGGTTTGAACCTCCAGCCTTCTGGTTAGCAGTCAAGTGCCTTAGCCACTATGCATTAGGGGAAAAAAAAAAAAAAAAAAACACCTCCCACCCAAGAAAACAGTATTTTCTAGACATTCTGCTGTATGGAGAGCAAGCAGTGAGTCCCAGGGCATTAGTTAACATTTTCCAGTAAAGTGAAAGATAATGGTTAAATGAAGAGTCCTGTCCTGGAGCTCAAAATATCAATTATATAAATACAAACAGAGGGCAGCCCAGCTTGGCAGAAGTTTGTGGTGAAAAGCCTGAAACTTTTAGAAAACCCTGCACTCGTGAATTATATCATCTAGAAAAGACGAGTGCTTTTTTAACCTTCAGCGAGATAAGTAGAACAGTCAGCTCTTGGAGGTGCTAAGTCCAGTGACCTGTAATACCCTGATTAAACTACAAGAAGAGTTCTGGGTTCATATTTTGTCAGATAATTTTTTAAAAAAAAAATTTTATTATGATTTGCGTGAACATTTACAGAGAAAATTTATTTTGTACACAGCAGTTCATACACATTTTATTTCATGACATTGACTGCAATTCCCCATAATGCAATAGCTCTCTTCCCACTTCTCCCTTGTAGTTATCTCTTCCCTGTGTCCTTCTTTCTTATCCATTCCTGCCCCATGGGCTATCTCTATGTGTAAATACTGCCCTTCCGTTCTTCCACGATTGATCATTCTAAGGAGTGTATTTTCACCTGGTATAAATGTTCACTGTATATGCCTGTTATTTGGCTGGAAGCCACAGGAGTGAGTTCAGTTCCTGGCTTGAAGGGTGACTAGGGGCCATAGT